TCTTACTACCTATGTTGATTTTTAAATTAAGCTCTTTGCTTTTCAAACTATTCACAATACTTTCAAGATTCCATTGTCTCTACTATACCTAAGAGCAGATTTCACATCATTGTAAGAATCAGTTATAACTTTTAAGAGCACAATAGAGGTGTAATTATCAAAATTTTTATCACCAATTTGCTTAATATCCTAAACAATTTTGGTAAACACATCCAAATTATCATCCATGTTTTTGGACAAGTCAAGTTTTGAACCGGAAAATTTTTTCAAGTAAAAACAACTTATATGGCAAAGAGGTTTTAGTGTATAGATCCTCTAATTTTTTCCAAAGTTCTTTTGCTGAGTCCAATTTACTAACTTTTCTTAACACAGAGTCAGATAAATTGAGAATAATCGAAGAATAAGCAAACTCATCAATTTCGGTCCTTTTTTCGGCCATCACATTAGTAGAATGAGAAAGATTAATAACTTTAAACACTTTTTATTGAACAAGAATACCTTTCATTTTCTGTTGTCAAATGGTATAATCATATTTTCCATCAAACAAGACAAAGCTAAAAGCTGACACGGAGCCCATTTTCAAAAAACACACAAGTTTTTGTACAGAAAATCATATGTCAACGACCAGAGTATCACAAAGATACAAATCACACAGTAACAATCCCACATGGCAAGTTACACAGAGCGAATAACAACGGAATGTCACTATAAAAGCAATAAATCAATTAAACATGCGGCTGGAACCTCCAGCAAAGCAATAAATCACATAAATCAAAAAAATATCATAAAAAATTCTACCAGCACGTTTCCCAAAATATAAATTCTCGGAAAGGGACTGCAACTAATCACTATCCCTGACAAGGGCTACCACTACTAAAGCGCTAAAAGAACGAATTTCAACCAATTTACCAAAGCGAGCCCTATGGAAAGGAACTCGTCTTACCTGTGGCGGCGAGTAGACAACCTGGCAAGAGCAAGGCTCTTGTACCATTGTTGAGTGGTCTTCTGACTCGTCTCACCGGGCTGGTGCTAGCCCTGATTGGTCTCGAACAGCCGCTGGTAAGTCCTGGATAGCGCCCGATAGAGCCCGAACAACACCCAGTTTGTCCCAAAGTCGTCCTGGTATCTCCGCTTCAAGTTGAAACCGAAAATTACCAATAAATAGACAAATTTCAGCAATCAAAGAACATAGATAAATTGAAAATGTTGGGAACAAATAAGGAATAAGAACGAATACACCCTTTCGCTGACTTCTCCTACAAGGGCCCCAATGCTACATATGCCACGAGAATGGGTTGAATATGACCAGGCTCAGTCCCCTTTCGTCAATCCCTTAAAAATGAGTCACCAAAGAACCGATCTATGGACCCTAGGTGATGTTGGGATGTGTCGCAAACTCAAGAACATATAAATACGAATAAATTCATCTTTTTATTTCATAATTCACCCAAACGAAATAAACTAGAGGGAGTCCTTTATATAAGGTTCATAAACATTATTCCTAACTTGTCCAACAAGACAACATCATTAAATTCCTAACTTATTCTCCAAGATACCTATTAAACAATAATAATAATAATAATAATAATAATAATAATAATAATAAATACTAGTCTACACCATTCTACACTATGCCACGAGAATGGGTTGAATATGACCAGGCTCAGTCCCCTTTCGTCAATCCCTTAAAAATGAGTCACCAAAGAACCGATCTATGGACCCTAGGTGATGTAGGGATGTGTCGCAAACTCAAGAACATATAAATACGAATCAATTCATCTTTTCATTTCATAATTCACCCAAACGAAATAAACTAGAGGGAGTCCTTTATTTAAGGCTCATAAACACTATTCCTAACTTGTCCAACAAGACAACATCATTAAATTCCTAACTTATTCTCCAAGATACCTATTAAATAATAATAATAATAATAATAATCTATATATATATCTAATAAGAATTAACATTTTTCAAAAATAGTAAGCAAAAAAATAGGGAATATTAATTGCATTCCATTTTTGGTATGTTTTTTTTTTTTTTAATTTTTTTAATAAAAAATCAAGTAGCATTTAATGCTAGCATAAATCATGGGATTTGTTATATAGATGCATATTTAAATTTCAAACTTCAAACAAAACATGCCTAAATGTATTTTGAATTTTTTAGGAGAAAAATTTAACAAACACATTAAAGATTTCATACAATACATTTATTTATATATATTATCTTAACATATAGGTTAATTAGTATCATATCTAAACAATATATATTTAAACAATATATAAACAAATATAATAATTTGTCGTACAATACAGACACATATATAAACAATAAAATTATATACAAATATACTAAACAATACAAACAATATATAAACAAATATAATAACTTGTCACGTGTATATTTCGTACAATACATATGTTTATATATATTTTCTTAACATATAAGTTAATTAGTTTCATATATAAACAATGGAAAATGCTACAATCCCGTTACGGAATCATTCCGTTGGGATTGTAACCGTTAGATCATCAAGTAACCGTCAATGATAATTGATCTAACGGTTACAATTCCCAACGGAATGGTTCCGTAACGGGATTGTAGCCTTACCCATAAACAATATATATTTTAGGAACTTAAAGATTCATAACATTACTGACGTCATGAATATTTATAATATATTGTCACATACATTTTACTACAATTGATAACTTTTATAAATTATTTGAATAACTGAAGGTTGATTTGTAATTTGAATTTCAAATTCATTCAAACATTTAAAGGAAAATATCATAAGCACATTTTTTTGATACATTTCATTTTATCTCAACTTACATATAATTCGCGGCCCGCGACAAGGCAGCTTGCGACCGTGAATAGTTTTGGGTTGCAGGTAGGGGTGTGCATATTTCGATTAAAACCAAAAAAACCAACCGAAATAGAAGCGACTCGGTTTTTATTTGACTCGGTCGGTTTTCGGTTTTAGTCGAATTATATTTCTGTTAATTCGGTCGGTGTTGGTTTTCGGACAATAAATGTCCGAAATGACTGAACCGACCGAATAATATATATAGGTATATCTATATATATTATAATATGTATATATGTGTATGTATATATTATACTTTATTTTATATATTATAATATATATATATATATATATATATATATTATCTTTTATATTAAAATGTACATTCGGTCGGCTAGACCAAACCGACCGAAACCGACCAAGAAGTTTGGCCGTCTAATGTTTGGTTTAAATTGATAATTCGGTTGATTTCGGTTATCGACATTGTATGGTTCGGTTATTTTGATTTTCTTAATTCGTTCGGTCCGATGCATACCCAAAGTTGCAGGTCGCGAAGCTTGTTGCGGTCTGCGAAGGCTCGTGCCCATGGTTACCATAAGTCATCTTTTGGCTTTTGAATGTGCTCATTCTCGTCCGGGCACATTTTCAAAGGTAAATTTTGGCACTTAAACTTCCTGGAGATGTTTTCCTACATCTATAAGTACCTACATACACATAAGTCGTTGTATTTTGAAGGCATTTTCTGTTAATCGTGCTATTTTACGGGGCAACTTTATTTTAAGGAGGACATAAGTATTGCATGACTCGACTTTAATTTTTGTTATATTTTCTTTGTTATTCTTAAGCATCTTTTAGATATTCATGTACCAAGATGGTAAGATTGAGGAGCTGGACACTCAGTGTTAAAGGTAAGATCAAACATTTTATTTGGAAATGTTTTCTAGTTCTTTACCAGTCAACGTGAATGTGAGAAGTAAAGACATTGAAATAGATGTTATTTGCAAATGTTGTGGAGATGAGGAGGAGATTATTGAACATATATTCTTCAAGTGTGAGAGCTAAAAGGGTATGGAAACACTCACCTATTTTTTGGGATGGTATCATATCAAATTTCTGCAGGTTTGAAGAGTGGTGGGGGATGGTTTTCTTTATTGACAATTCTGATGTTTTTGAGGCCAATGTTTAACTAAAAGCATATTTACTTTGTTGGCTTTAGAAATCTCGGAAGTTGTGGTTGTTTGAGAGTGTTTGAAGACCGGAGCAGTGTGTTGTGAAGGCGACTGTGGGCGAGTGGCTTGAATCTGCGAGTGTTGAAGCCAAGACTAGAAGATCAAGATAGGTAAAGGTTTTTGTAGACAATTCAGTGGCTAGTTTTTCTGTTTTTGGGTGAGTGAATCTTTGTGTTTAGGTAGGTGCGGTCTAGCCGGAGGTCTCAGTGTATTTTTCTGCCTCCAGTTACATTTGGATCGTTTTGTTGTTTAGGCTACAATTTGATGTTGTAGTTCTCTCTGGTTTGTGCCTTCAGCACTGTTCTAAAAATCGGCCTAGGCGCTAGGCGGTGCCCGGGCGCCTCCGATTTGTACAAATCGGCAGAAAAAATCGGCCAGGCGGCTAGGCGGCGCCTAAGCGGGCCTAGGCGGCCCTAGGCGCTCCTAGGCGGCCTTGGCGGGCTCGGCGGCCAGGCGTCTAGGCGGGCGTAGGCGGATCTAGGTGCTCCTAGGCGGGCTCGGCGGCAATTTTTAATTTTTTTTTTATTTTTTTAAATACTAATTACATTATTTTGTTATCATGTTTCTTTAATATATATTAATATTATTATTTGGACTTTGGTGTGTGAATTTATTATATGTTGAGATAATTTTATTTTGTAGGTAGTTAAAATAAATAAAAAATAAGGTATTTACTATTGATTTCTGGACCCCGACGCCGCCTAGGCCCGACTAGGCGCTCTAGACGCTAGACACTGGTCGAACGCCTAACGGGCGCCTGACAACTTTTAGAACACTGGCTTCAATTATAGGGTTTTGCCCGAGTTCAGTCAAACTTTGTTATTCTTGGTGTGTTTAGTGGAGTTTTTGTGTCATTCAAAAACATTTACCAAGCAACCAACATAAACAAACTAAAATAAACAACTTTTTAGTACAAAAGTATAGTAATAATGGTACCTACATAGAGAAAAACACACAAATCCATGGCGCTGACAGGTAAGGGTATGGCAGCAATGGCCACCTCTCTTCTCAAAAACCCTTCACGTGAGTCTGAACTGTGTCTGTTCCCTCTCTCTCTTTTATGCTTTTTCTTCATACATTTTTGTACATGCTTTTTCTCTATCCTCACATCACATGTTACCATCAACAACCAGAAAATGGTATACATATTCTACTCTGCTCTTCGAATTTAATTCAATTCTCACCTCTCATCTCTCTTAATAAAACTATTTACTGTTCAGATAAATAAACAAAAATCCATCAAAACAAAAGTTCCCTCACTCTACTCACTCCATTCTCAAAGTTCAACAAAAATGGTGAAAAAGCCACATTTTCATCCCCCACTTCATAATGTGCTTGTTTTCATTTCAGTCTACCACCATTATCTCCTCCTTGCTTCATCTTCTTCCTCTTCACAGGGCACAAACCTGCTACTACCTTCCGACGCCTCCGGTTTGCTCGATTTCAAGTTGAAAGCCGATTCGCGGCACAATTTGGATTATTCCTCAAAAACCGCTTTCGCTTTCTGCAAATGGGAAGGTGTCCAGTGCTCGGCCTCCCGGGCGGTCAAATTTATCGTCGAGGACCGGAATCTCGGTGGCGTTTTTCCGCCGGACACTCTAACCCGGCTCGGCCAGCTCCGAGTTCTGAGCCTCCAGAACAACTCGCTCACCGGCCCGGTTCCCGACCTCTCCGGCCTGGTCAATCTCAAGGCCCTCTTCCTCTCCCGCAACTACTTCTCCGGCGCGGTTCCTCCCTCCATCTCCGCCCTCCACCGCCTCAAAACCCTAGATCTCTCCTACAACATGCTCGCCGGCCCAATCCCCGAGTCCCTCAACGGCCTGGACCGGCTGTACTGCCTCCGCCTCGATTTTAACCGGTTCAACGGCTCGGTCCCCCCTCTCAACCAATCCTCCCTCCAACTCTTCAACGTCTCTCACAATAGCCTCGCCGGCGCGATTCCGGTCACACCGACCCTCTCCCGCTTCGATAGAACGTCGTTCGGCCAGAACCCCAGCCTCTGCGGCGAGATCATCCACCGGGAGTGCCGCCCGTCGCGGCCGTTCTTCGGCTCCGCCGCCGCGTCGCCGGCCGCGGCGGCGCTCAGCCAGACCACCCAGCTGCAGGGCGGCGTGGCGCTGGCCGGCAGGGGAGCGCTCGTCGGGAAGCACAAGCGGGCCGCCTTAGTGATCGGGTGCACGCTAGGCGCGTCCATTCTCGTCGTTTCACTTTTGTGCCTCGCGCTAGCTGTCAGGAAGCGCAGGGGACGTGGCGAAAGTACCAGAATGCCCCTGGAGGCTAGCGTGACGGGGAATGCCGAGGCTGTGACGCGGATCGAAGAAGAGAATGCGGAGCTGGCGGAGAAGGTGCGGAGGGTGCAGGAGGAGAAGGGCCAGCAGCTGAGGGGCAAAAGCGGGAGTTTGGTATTCTGTGCGGGTGAGGTGCAGGTTTACACGATGGACCAGCTGATGAGGGCCTCGGCAGAGCTGCTGGGGAGGGGGACGATGGGGACTACTTACAAGGCAGTGCTTGACACGCGCCTCATCGTGACTGTGAAGAGGCTGGATGCGGGCCGGCTGGCGGGGTTGGTCCGGGAGGCATTCGAGGCCCACATGGATGCTGTTGGCGGGCTTAGGCACCCCAATCTGGTACCCCTACGGGCTTATTTCCAGGCCCGGGAGGAGAGGCTGCTGGTGTATGATTATCAACCCAATGGAAGTCTTTTCTCCCTCATTCATGGTTAGTCCTGTTTTTTCATTTAATTGATAATAATAATAATAATAATAATAATCTCTTGTCTAATATTGATGTTTATATATGTAAATCTATTTTTTTTTTCTTTTTTTTTTGTATAATTTTGGTTAACAATGGAGATGCTCGTTGGCTGTATTTGTGATATTGTGTTTGGGAGCAATTAGCCATTTACATGTTGTGATTGTGTTTTAGAAATTTAACCAAAAACTATTGCGATTGGAGTGTTCGAACAATCGATAATCAAGAGGTACTCGGTGAACAAGTTAGTCTAGGAGACTGGTGAGGTCCGTTAAGTCAAACTCTAAGCTTACAATGTCTGCTAGAGTGTAGTTCCCCAAAAAACAAGATTATATCAGTGTACAGCTATCGTTTAGAAAATCCAGGTAACAGAGAATCTAGTGCAGGTTCTCTTAAGAACTAAAATGGATTAAGTTACAATCTTCAAGCATAATTCAAGATTTACAATAATGTATATACTAACTTGGGTGTCATTTGCAAAAAAATAAAATAAAAAAACTTGGGTGTCAGGGTTTTGATTTGAAAACAGGAAGAAATTAACTGTTTCAACGTTTACATGTTATTCAAAAATTTAAATCGGTACGGCCATTATACACAAGTTGCTTCTTTTCTGATATTGATGATACAAATGAGGCATCGCCACAACTATTTATATATATGATCAACAAACAAAATGCAGATAAAAACATAAATAACTTTAATTTCTAGTCCAGATGGTGATTGGATTGTTGTATTAATCTCCGATGGCCTGAGTTTGAGACCCAGTGGCTACAAAATCTGTTCTCATTTTTATTTTCATTTTAGCAAATAAGTGAATGTTTGCTTATATATTCATAGGTTCAAAGTCATCGAAGGCAAAGCCACTCCATTGGACCTCATGCCTGAAAATAGCAGAGGACTTAGCCCAAGGCCTTTGCTACATCCACCAAGCCTGGCGCCTAGTCCATGGCAACCTCAAACCCTCCAACGTCCTCTTGGGCCCAGACTTTGAGGCCTGCTTAACCGACTACTGCCTCGTGGCCCTATCCAGCCCGTCTTTGGACAATGACCCAAATTCCATGGCCTATAAAGCCCCAGAGATGCTCAAGTTCAACAACCGTGAGCCCACCACTAAGTCGGACGTCTACTCGTTCGGCATCCTTCTTCTCGAGCTCCTGACTGGAAAGAGCCCTTCGGAGCACCCAAATGTGGGCCCGCACGAGATGGCTCATTGGATGAGGTCCACAAGGGACGAGCACAATGAGGAGAACAGGCTTGAGATGCTTCTTGAGGTGGCCTTGGCTTGTTGTGGGCCTTTGCCTGAGCAGAGGCCCACAATGTGGCAAGTGTTGAAGATGGTGCAAGAGATTAAGGAAGTGGCGTTGATGGAAGATAGTGACTTCAACCCGAGTTCGGGCTCCTCGTAGGACTTTATGTAATGTTATTTGTACATCTCACGTATCGGATGATGTCATCGTTGTGCACGTGTTATGCTCGTGTGGTGTATCGAAATATTTAGATGACGCGCGGTAGAAAATTGAGGTTTGGGTTAAAATTAGTATGGTCACGGTTTTGTATATGCTATTATGATGGATTGAATGGACGGACACTCAGATGAGAAATTGCCCTCTTCTACTCCCCAACCCTTTGGCCAAAAAGCGGGTGAAGAATTAAAAGGAGTTGGTTCAAGTTCAACTACATTTAGGTACATTTTGTATTCATATTCTTGTGTTTTACTTGAATGTATTCATTACTTGTGGTGGTTGGTTGGTGTAACTCTTTTCATTGCTGGTGTAAATTCAATTGAGGCGGTAGATCTCCAATACTTATGACTTCGCCTGGATGTGTGGTTTATCTAGAAATATACGGACCATATTTTGCCACCACGGCCCATGTTCTGGATTCTTTATATTCAACCTTTCGTCAGGGGAGCAAAGTGAATGTAATTTTATTTTTTTTTTTAATAAATTACAGAGACAGAAATTGTATTCCAAATTTAGAAGAACACGGGTCTTCAATGTAGGCAAGTTTAGGTGCACATGAAAGATAAAACGTGTAGTCTAATCCATTCTCCAATTCCTCTTTCATAGAATGAGGTTGCACCCAAATCAAAGAGTATTGCATAGGAATCAACACAATTGTGTTCGGAATTCAATGTACATATTGGTGATAGCTGTGGCCCATGAGATAGAATGTTGATGGCCCAAATATTTATCACTCTCAGGCCCAATATTCTTTGATCTGAGTCCAATTTCTGGCAGCCCACTTGATCTACGTGATCTTGGTTGTTCGTAGTTAAGTGCGCCAATCGTGACAGTTCATTGCTTCTTTTTAAAACCCTATCAGGTGTCTATTTAGAGAAGTACCATAATCTGATTCTTTTCCTTCGCAGCCTTAAGAATATTCAGCAGATCACTTTGTTCTTTCGCTCTCGCTCTCGCTCTACTCTTTTCGATTTAGTGTCTATTGATACAATCCTCTCTTATCGTATTGCATCTTTGTAATAATGAGATTGTGAGTGTATTAGGGATCTTCATCGTGTGTGCCGAGTCAGTTGGCGAGAGGGGTTTTCTTTGTGGTTTCGTGTACGGGCTATTTTCGGGCCGAGCTTTGTGCGACGACCGTTGGAGTTATCATTGGGCTTACAGTGCCGGAGTTATTGAGGCCTAGTGATGTAGACTAGTATCTAGTATTATTATTATTATTATTATTATTATTATTATTATTATTATTTAGTAAGAGATGTTGTCTTGTTGGACAAGTTAAAAATATGGTGTAAGAGCATTATATAAATGACTCTCTCTAGTTTATTTTGTTTGGGTGAATTATGAAATGAAAAGATGAATTGATTCGTGTTTAGATATTCTTGGGATTGCAATCTCATTAATACCGTTTCACTTGTACGCTTCCCTACATCAATTGGTATCAGAAGTCAATACGATTCAAGATGCCACCGCGAATAGATGACATCGACGGGCGTGAAGGTCGACAAGCCATAGGCTTCGGCCGCCAGATCAATGAATTGGATCGTCGAGTTGAGGATCTTTCGACGGGGATCGAAGAATTGCGTCTTACGGTCAACAACATGGTTGAGGATTTGCAAATGAACCGTAACACCGGCAACCGGAGCGTGGAAGTTCGCGATGGACGTGGAGGCCGTGGTCCAGGCGGAGCGTCCCGCAGAAGATCTCCACAACCACCGCCTGGTAACGAAGACGGCGAGGAGACAATCTCGGAGGTGAATCCCTTCGACAATTATCCACCCCCGCGCGTCGAGGTTGACCCGTTCGCTGCATACGACGGCCGTGACATGCAGCGACGGAGCCCGGTCTTCGTGGATGACGACGATCAACGCGACGACAGAAGCAAGCGAGAGGAGGCTAACTTCGCCGTCGGATTTCGTGCTCGACGAGACTGGGGTTTACTACCATGTGCCCGACACCACACGCTGGCCACAAGAGCGCATCGACTTTGAGGGCGAAGCCTTCCGAACCGATGGAGAATGGTGTAGACTAGTATCTATTATTATTGTTGTTATTATTATTATTATTATTATTATTATTATTATTATTATTATTATTATTATTACTAGTACGTAGCCCGTGCGATGCACGGGACATAAGTATTAAATGAGTCATTTTCACAGAGCTTGTCCGTTAAGTAGCTCTTGCGATTCACGTGAGATATTAAATGAGTGGACCATAGAGCTTGTCCGTTCAGCCCTAAAAAATAATAGAGTTTGATTATCCATCTTTTTACATCTTTTCATCAAAGTCATTTTTTTTGTCAGAACATTAAATATGAGTCTGATAGCGCAAGCCCGTAAATTAATTAATATATTATCTCGTTTACATGTTTATAATAATATAAATTTTATTTCATTATATATATATATATATATATATTTATTCCTTGATATAAGAAAAATAACGATTTTACGTAATCTTATTCCTCGTATAATACTCATATTATTTTATTATAAAATTTATTGTAATATAATTTCATTATTATTATTTATGCAAGTTATAGATGTAGTCTTCTTCTTCTTTTTGTTTTATATAATTAAAATATTTAATGTATGTTCATATTATTTATTAATGTAATTAATTTAAATTATGTAAATAAATTTAAAGTAAAACATTTTGTACAAACATTTTACAAAATATACACAAATATTTTTTTAAAATCTATTTTTTTTATAATAAATAAACATCTTTGAAATTCTATGCAATTATTAAACATCCTTGATATAAATTCGAAATCATAATTGAATTCTATGCAATTATTAATTCTGCTTCTATGCGCCGCGAGCTCACACACGCTCATTTAGACTCTAAATCATGTCTGGTTTTTGTTATACTCGTACCCCCCAACAAACCTTATTAAAGTTATAGCATGCCTAATACATGAATCTAACTCGTTTGAGCAGACTAGTAGTATAATCGAAAAATTAATTTTAAATATACAAAATTATATTTATATATATGTATTGTAAATATATTAAATTTAAGAAAATAAATTATATCCAAAATTAATATTTTAAAGTTTCAGTAAATATTAATATCAAATTCAAAATGTCCACAAATATTTCTTAATTACAAAATTATAATATTTAAAAATAAAAAAATAATAGAAAAAAAATTGTCATGGCCAATTCGATTGGTCAATCCGATTCCGACCACATTATTCAAATCACTTAAAAAATATTTTGAATACAAGAACTTATCATTGTCAAATTTTTCTCGGTCAAATAGCAACCGACTAGACCAAGTCGAAAAATAATGTATATGACATATTAAGTTGCAAAAACTTTAAATTAATTCTGTTTTTAGCTATCTTTTACTCATCAATAAATATAATGCACGTTAGATTAGTTGTCTTTATGCAACATATTGTTTGTCCCAAGTATCGCTGCTAGCTAATTTTATGATTGCATTTGAATACTCGAATCATGTCCATTAATGAAAAAAAATAAAAAATCCGCTATAATAAGGTCCAGCAGTGGCCCATATAAAGGCTGATATTCAAGTTGGGCCGAACTATCAGCACATCGGCTGACATTCAACGGGCCTTATATCAAATCCACTGAGAATAAATGACACCCCCAATCTATTTGTTTAAACATTTTACATTAAAATTCTTACATATTATTTAGACAATATGATTTCTTTTTTTCCAATTATACTTCTTTTTCCAGACGCTTTTAGGTTTTAAAAAATCTGGCCTTCTTTTATTTTCTATTTTTTGTTTTAATTTTTGTAACCGGCACATATTATGATTATATCGGACAGTTTTATTGCAAGAACATTTTCTAAACCTTTCGCCTTGTTTCTTTGTTCTTCTTCATCGTCAGCTTCTATTTTTCTTCCTTATTTTATTCTGTTTC